TTCTCTCGTGTGATAGAGGCATTAGTCTTCTTTCCATCGTTCGTGTCAGAGTCTACCTAAGCATAGCTCACCTAACGTTTTGGTTTTCTCGCCATGGTGATAATTATTTAACACCAAAGCACTGTCACACCACAGGGAAGCGTTATCACCACTCTATCTCTGATGAGTTTCGCCAACCAACTGGATAGGGAAATAAGTTTTCGCTAGAGCTCTCGCTTGAAATCTTGCGAATAAAAATAAATAAAAGTTTTACTTATTTGAAATGTGATGGCTACGTTATCGGTTTTGATGATACGAGATTACAAACTATCTTCAATGAATATAGTTTTAATATTTTTTAAAAAATAAATATAAGTAAATAAATAAAACGTATTATTAGAAAGGAGTTAATTACAAAAATAAAATAAGATTACAAACAGATCCTTGTTAAAAAAATCTACTTTTTTTTGCTTTTGTGTAGATTCATTCATTTATACATTTATTTATTAATGATAAATATTATTAAGAAAATAAGTGTGTTTTTTCCTTCCTTTTGTATTTTCTGATATTATCTTGCGTTGCTTTTTATTTACGGAGTAATCAAGAGGAAGATTTGAATGGTAGTAAAATAATTCAGCAAGATAATTTTATTAAATTTTCTGTATTGCTGTGAGGCAATAAAACATAGAATAATAGTTTTATGTCATTCCATGCATAATTTACTTAGCAATACAGAAATACTAAATAAAATTATTTTAGCGAACCATTTTCCTCCCTCCAAAGTATATCTTATATTTAGCTGATTTTTTGAATATTTCAAATTTATGTATGAAATAATAATATATCACAGCTTTTATTGATATTTTTTTAATTATTCATACATTAAGTTTTCTGACAAATTTTATATCTTTAATAATTTTCAAGTATTTAACTTTAAAATGTACTCTTAAATTTTTTTTCTTAGAAATGAGCTTATTTCATCAAAATCTCATTTGAATTTGTTAGTTTGTAAAACATATTTTATAAAATGTGTAACTTAAGTCATTTGTTATTTCACAATTATCATTCATTATTTATATTCTAAAACTGTAAACTTAGAAAACCACACTACGTAATTGCAAATTTAAATTTACATTTGAATTAAGTTGAAAATTAACATAATTTTTTTTCTTTTAAAGTATAAATTAGTCTTTCAATTCCATAAATATAAAAGTAAAATTATATCTCGAATTTTCAAGTTGTTATTTTTTGTAATAATTGAAACAATAAAGAAAATTTATAAATATTCCAATTATTTATTTGCATAAATTTGTTCACTGAAATTAAATGGAAAAATACTTACTTAACTTTAAGAATCTGAAATTTTACTTACAAGACACTTTAAACAAAACCCAAAGGCACCAGTAGAAATATTTCCAGGTAGTGAAACGAAAAAAAAGCCTTTATGAATTTTAATTAAAAAAATTTGCCAATAACTTTTCGTAAGGTGAAAATAATTTTACATTGGCACATCAGAAATTTTTATTATTCAATAAATAGTTAAAGGTACTTATATTTACTTAAAATTTACGCAACATTTAAATCTCGAAAACAAAAATAAGTAGTAAATATTATATTTCATCAGAATTAAATTTGCACAAGCATTTAATTGCATACAAGTATGAGACGAAAAAACATAGCATATTTTTTTACTATAAGCTGCCTTTTGTATTGATCCAAACTTGACAACCATCAGTCATTTTTTGAAAACCTTGCTATCACAAAATTTTTGTTTGAAATCAATCAATTTCATTGTTTGTATTTCGCTTATAAGAGTTTATGCATTACAGTAAAATCATACATTACCCGCAAAGTAAAGACACACATATTACAGCTTTAAGTCAAAAGAACTTTTTACGATTACAATTATTTTACAATTACATTATTTTGAACATGATAAAAATAAAAAAGCATAAACTCTTTGTCTTAAATTTCAAATGAACAATCATGAGAAAATTTCCAAAATTAAAATAATAAACACAATGTTGATTTTGAAAATCTTCACGAGTTTAAGCTATGCTTTAAAATAAGCTTTAAAAGAAAATTGCTTCCGATATCATCTCGAAAGATTACAAATAACAAAATTTTTAAAATTTTCAACTGTTTTCATGACATTTTATTATAACGTTAGTTTTTTTTTAAAAAAAACCGTCGTTGAATAGGTGATCCAATTTAGGATTTACGATTACCATCAAGTAGAGAGGAAAACCTTCCACTGTTCCACTAGCCTGACAGCAAGGGGACTCTAACCCACAATTCATCGACCACTGAGGATATTTTACTTGAACCCTGTGATCGGTGTGAGCCGGGTTCGAATTGACCAGCCATCCCTGGATTCGAACCCGGCTCACCTCATTTGGAATCGATAGTTCTATCCCCTAAGCCGCAAATTGCTCTTTCAATATTATGTAAAATAATCAGTCTTAAACATTCCTGAGTCTCGCAGTGGACTGATAGTTAAGACACGGTTCCCAGCAGATCACCGAAGTCAAGCATCACTGACTGTGGTCAGTATGCGGGTGGGTGACTACTTGGATCAGTTTGCGTAGGGACCGAGAGTGTGCGATATTGGTCCTCGTTAAATTGCTCTACCGTTGTCAAAAAATTTCGAATCAAATAATTAAGACGCTACTAATACGTTTAATATAAAAGGAAGATTTATTAACTAAATAAAATTACCGCATCGCAGTTCCAAACAAAAAACAAATCTCTTACTCTCTCAAACCACTATTTACATTCTAAACCATCACCATGGCAACCAAAAAACTCTTCTCTTTGCCATCTATAAACTGATATATAATAAATAAATTATTTACCAAAAAATACGATGCGCATAAGCACATAATATTTTACATCCTCCCACCTAAGTTAACTATACTAACAAAGGAGTTAACTTACATAACTTAAAAATATTTTGGGTAAGAATGGCACCCTGCAAGAATTTGAAAAAAAATTTAAAGTTCTAAATCAATATGCAGTTCTCATAAATATAGTTTGTCAAGCCTTTTTAACAGCTTGTCCACTCCCTGTAAAATAAACGGCACAGGTAAATCTTGCCCTTTGAATTCTCTTTCAAAATCACAGGACCAGCAAAGTCCACACCCGTTACTTGGAAAACAGCTACATCTTGAACTCTCTCACTTGGTGGAGATGCAGTTGGTGGGTTTACAGGTTTGGTAGAAAAACGCTTGCATACTACACAAGGTCTCCATACAGATTTTACTTTTTCTCTACCACACAGCAGCCAAAATCTTTCTCTAAGAAAATTCAATAGGTATGAAACATCAGCATGTCCCCTTTTCTTATATTCAGACAGTACTAAACGTTTTACTATAGGATGCTCTCCTGGTAAAACAGCAGGTGTTCTAAACTCCTCAAAATTATCTCTCTTATATACAGTTGTTTTTAATCTATAGATTCCTTTCTCTTCAATAAATATATCCAAAGTTTTAAGGCTTTTATTTGAAACTCTTGTAAATGACTCCTGTTGTATCAAGTATACAGTGGCTTTCTCAGCTTCCTCTAATTCCCTTACAGAAAGATCTCCTTTTCTTCTTTCTTCCTTTTTGCAATTAAAAAGGAATCTCGTCACCCACACCATAGTATGTACAATTTTTCGATAATCAGAAATATTAGAACTCAAAAGTTTAGTCACTTCAAAATTTATCATTGAGGTTGTGACGCCTTTTCTTTTCTCACAGTTTACTTCCTCTTCATTAACGACATATTCAGACGAAGTCCACAATTCTTGAGGTAAATATATGGAACACTTCTTGGATCCAATTAGTCCAAAATACTTTGGAATATTAATTTTCACAATGTGCAGTACACCTTCAATCCATTTTAAAAATTCTCTTCTGGTGTTTTCATCAACATCATCATCCCAATTCAGTTTCAACTTTCAAATGCTCTGAAGAAGCAATTTTGGGATCAGTGTTACAGGACAGATTATACCCAAGGGGTCAAAAAGTCTATGTGCAGCTGACAGGATGGTTCTCTTCGTTAGTTTCTTAATGTTAAGCTCTTTAATGCAACCTGTACTGACTTGAAGAATATCATCTTTCTTATCCCAGCTCATATCAAGAACATTTGAGGATGGCTGTGAATTTTCCTCAGTTAAGTCGGTGAACTCCCACCCTCTAAGATCGAATTTTCTACTTGCCATTATTTCAGTAGCAACTCTTTCAAAAATATTCAATTCTTCTATATCCTTGACACTCGTGACACAATTGTCTATATTGAAACTTTTCATTAGTTTTTGTACAACATATTCAGGATAAGAGGATTTTTGTTCCCTTATTTCTTTCAAAACATTCATCAGAAGGTATTTGATAGTTGAGGACAACAGAAATGGTCTACAGGTGATTCCAAATACTATCCTGCTATGCCTGTAAATCTTCAAGCCTTCATCACTAAGCCACAAAAATCTTAGGTAATTCCTATCAGTTTTAGTAAGTCTGATTTGTAAGACGGCTTTACGTATGTCTGAAACGACACCAATTCTCTCAGTCCAAAACCACATCAAAATACTTGGTATCAATTCAATAAGATTTTCACCCTTCTCTAAGCAATCATTTATACTTGGAAAACCTTTGGCCTTAGCTGAAGCATCAAATACGCGTTTGATTTTGGTAGTGCTACTTGGTTTAATTGCTGCCCAATGATGTAGATAGTGTACATTTTCCTCACAATTATCTGTTACTTCTTCTATTATTCCCTCCTCCATCCATTCATTAAAAACTTGCTCATACTCTTTAAAAATAGACTGTGATTTAAGCCGATTGACATTCGAATTCAATCTCTTATACGCCAGATCATAGTTGGTTGGCAATGGAGGATGATCTTCCAGCCAAGGCATGCTAACCACAAAACGGTTTTCTACATCTAGTCTGATTGTCTCCAAAAAGTACTCTTGTGTAGCTCTTTGCAACTCTGCCTGCACTTTCTTCGCAGATGGATCTGTGATTCCCAAAACATACAATGACCACAGTTGATTCACTGATGCTTCAGTTAAAAGCAATGAAAGAGATGAATTTGTCGTCACAGCAATATCATTTTTCGGTATCTTCCCCATAAGAGTCTACCCTAGATGTGACTCAACGGCAACAGGACCTTCAATCAAACAATTTACATTGCCTGTGAAAAGCTTGCCGGCCACATCAGCTTTAAGTAATAATTTGACGTCATTAGATACTCCTAGAGAACTGTACTCAGTATCATTCACACAAATTCCATATTCATTCAACTTCTTTATCCATGGACCATATGGGATGCGTTTGACATAATCACAAATCACAGGTTGATCTAAACGAAGTACTTTGCAATAAAATTTGTTATCAATACTCGCTAAAGTAACTTTGTATTGAGAATGATGCTTTTCACCTGATGATACACCTCCAAACAATTTGTGTACTAACATAATTTCTCTATACCCAAATATTTGACTACGTCTCTCGTAATGCATGTTCTCTCAGAGCCTGTATCAATAATAGCTCTCACAAGTTTGTCTTTATTTCCATTTTTTATGCGCAGGACTAGAGTCTGTAATAAAACTTCAGAATGAAGTGATTGGCTAGTTGACGTTATCGCCAACGACACTTTCAGTTGCTTTACTCTCTGGGATTTGAGCTTCATTACTGGCGACAAATCCTCTACAAAGAAATATGTTGTGCTTTTTACCACAATTAAAACATGGTTTCCGTCTGCAACTTATTACTCTGTGGCCTGGTCGTAAGCATAAGAAACAACAACGTGATCTTGCAACAGCAGCTTCTCTATCATTTAAAATTATCATGAATATCCAATTTTTTGCATATTCACAAACCCAAGAATTGTGCTGGTTTTCACAAAAAAGACATTTTTTCCTTTCATGTGGTGAAGTAAGCAATTCAGAAGTGGAAGGTACCTGTGCAGATTTACCAAATTTTTGTTTCAACTGGAATCTACCGTTCGTGGGAATTCTTCGTTTCTCACTATCATCTGTACCTCTCACGAAGGATTGAGATGCCATGTTCACTCTCTCTTCAGCCTCTACTTCACCCTCTAAGAACTCTAGCAAAGTATCCAACTCAGTCTTGGTNACAAGTAATTGCTTACCTTTTTCTGATATGATTCTTAATTTCAACAATTTCTCTTCATCGTTCATTTCAGTCTCAATTTTTGCAAAATCATTGCATGACTGAGTAAACAATCTACGATGCTGTGTTCTCACTTGTTTCAATACTTCCATTTTCGCTCAGATTCAGTAATAGTCGTTTTCTAAAATCTCAACAGAAATTCAAAGTCCTGTCGCGGACGCCATATGTCAAAAATTACAAATAAAAAGATGACCTCAAATAAAACTCAAAAGACTTTGAATCAAATAATTAAGAAAACTCTACTATTACGTTTAATAAAAGGAAGATTTATTTACTCAACAACAAAATTATAGCATCGCCGTTCCAAAACAAAAAAAAAAACAAAAACAAATCTCTTAGTCAAAAAACTATTATTTATATTCTAAACTTACCATGGCAACTACCAAAACTCTTCTCGTTGCCATCTTTGAATAGGAACAAAAAATAGGCTGCTCATAAATATATAATATTTCACACTATTTTACAAATATTTTCATACATGTATTAAATTGAATATTCGTTGTTGATTTTCTACCGTATCTTTTACTTTCAGCCAGTGACATCCATGAAGTTGATAGATGAAGTTTTCATAAAAACCTTTTACTTTATAGTATGCTTCACCTAATTTTAACTTTTTTTTTGTTCTCGAATCTTATAAATTTAATTGAATTGAATGTAGAGTTTAATGACACAAAGTCCATGAAAGGACATGCTGTGCCAAAATAAATCTCAAGTAAAATGCTTAATTTCTCTTACTAAAATCACATGGAGCTCTTATAAAACTAAACAAGACGAAACAGACTATTCAAAAGTGAATAAAATCAGATAAACTCCATAAACCAGTTGCATTCGAAACTAACC